TGTATTCGTAATGTGTTTAACAGATATGTAAGAGGGAATAAAAAAGTTATATAAACAAGAGGTCAGATCTATCTGGGCTCACCCATAGGATGATCATAATGTAAAAAGAATAAATATTTAAACTCTTTATGGTGCTTCATGATCACCCTGCAGGCAGAATGTAATCATAAGGTACCTGCTTACTGGCATGCTACTGAAGGCAGAGTTGCTGCATGGATCATCAGATTTTTTCAACCACTCAGGATCCTACTCTCTGTATTTTGACCCAGAATTTATATTGGTCACGGACACAAGCTACCTTAGGTAAATAGTAGTCAAGACACAAACTGCTTTATGACTCCTATTACACATGAAAGAAAGGGGGAAGAAGAAAACTGAAATTTAAATTTAGCAACCCCTGAAATCAACCTCTTTCTCTCCCTCTCTCCTCATGGCCGGTGTTACATTCCCTTCTCTTGTACTCCTTGGAATGTCACATTTCAAGGCGCTGCGCAGGAATGAGAAGACCTGGACTCTGTTCCCGGTGTGACTTGTAAGTGGCTTTGTCACCGTGAGCAGATGGCTTCGTATCAGGGCCTCTTTCCTTCGCTTTAAAAGGAGAAGGACTCCAGAGATTCTTTCTGGCTCTGAAACACCCCAAGTCCGGAAACACTGAGAGCGACATTCATGCGGTCGTGGTCCTCTCTTACCCTTTCCACAATGACGTATTCGTGGCTGTTATCATTAGTAGAACATTTTTTCATGCCCTTTTCTCAATTCTCTCTCTTTTTTTAACTTCTTGACAAAATCAGGTGCTTCTACATTTATTTCCCAATAAGTATTATTAGTCACCTGTGTTTACATATCTGTAACACATAGATATAGTATTATTTGGTCTGTCATTAGGTATGAATATTGTAATTTGTTATGAAACAGAGAGTAATAATTTGCATCAATTGAATTCTAAAGGTTCAGATGTTTAAATGGTTTAAAAGTAACCTGAATTACACAAACAATGTGCATCTTTCAGCCAATCTGAAACCGCTCTGGAAATGTCAAGAATGTCAGTACATCTGAATGTCACTCTAGGCTCAGTATGTAAGCATTGGTCTTGAAATCTGTTTAATCCATGCATGTATAGCACTAGGAACTTTTCATATAGCAGTTTCTTAAATGATATGTTTTTAGGTAGAAGGTTGGAAAACACCTGTACTAAATATTTGTTGATTTCAGAGACTATAACCTAACTGGAGTGCTTTATTTCCTTTTTGTTTTAATCGTTTTATTAGGGGCTCATACAACTCTCATCACAATCCATACAGACATCAACTGTATAAAGCACATTTGTACATTCATTGCCCTCATCATTCTCAAAACATTTGCTCTCCACTTAAGCCCCTGGCATCAGGTCCTCTTTTTTTTGCCCCCTCCCTCCCCGCTCTCCCTTCCCTCACAAACCCCTGATAATTTATAAATTATTATTTTGTCACATGCTTTATTTCCTTTATGCATAAATGTTTAGCTTGAAACATCTTGAAATTTTAGATGATTTATTCAACAGAAATTACTGGTAAATATTAGAATAAATAATAGAAATAGAGTAAAATACATGTCGAATCCCTTGCTTATTTTTTTGTGATTCAAGATACAATTTAAGATCAATTTTATCAAGGCAAGAAGTATATGAAGGGTAGGTTTTGAATAAGTCCTGAGACACCCACAAAAAAGGATATTGAAATATGACCATGGAGTGAGTGTCAAATCTGATGCAGCAGAATGTCTCCTATAACTTAGCCCGAATGTATGACGGAATTAAAATAAAAAGAGCCTTAATTAGATTTACGAAGGATACATAGAACTTTAAGGTCGGGAATGGAAGAGAAAGCAAGGCGGAGTAATGCTGTTAGGCAGCTTCATTGATGCTGTGGGGAGTCCCCGCTCCCAGCCCCCAGAATCTGCCGGCAGCAGAGAGGCAGAAATAAATTCACATTTCTTGTCTACTTGCACTAAATATATTCCATCATATTCTTAAAGCAACCTCGTGAAGTAAACACAATGGCTCCTTTACAGAAGAAACTGAGGCTCGCAGATCACACAGTCACATGGTACACGTAGAGTGGAAACAGACTGCTGGGGCAAAACTGCAGGGACTTCGTTACAGTTAGAGAAATGGTTTCTAAGCCTACTCGGACCGATTGGTTTGTTCTTCGGCCAGCCCACTTTCCCTTCTATGTACGGTCAGCAGCACCACCAGTACACCACTTCGAGCCGTTAGTCTCCCTTATGTAGTGGACAGCTTTCGTATCCAATGCAACTCATCATCCCATGATCACTTGACTGCTGCTTCCGTGAACATTGATTGGGGAGCCAAGCAAAATTAAATCCTTGACAACTTCAATCTTGTCTCCAATAATCATGATGTTATGTATTGGTCCAGTTCTGAGGATTCTGATCTTTACATTGAATTGTAATTCAAAATGAAGGCTACAATCCTTGACCTTCAACAAGTGCTTCAAATATTCCTTACTTTCAGCAAGCAAGGCTGAATATAAAAATGTATTAATAAGCCTTCCTCCTATCCTGATGCTACATTCTTCTTCATATAACATAGCTTCTCTGATTTTTACTCATCAGACAGATTGAATAAGTAGGATGAGAAGCTATAACCCTGATGCACACCTTTCTAGATTTTCAACCCTTGTTCTGTTTGTATAAGTGCCTCTTAATCCATGTACAGATTCCGCATGAGCACAATCAAATATTCTGGAATTCCCATTCTTCTCAAAGCTATCCACAGTTGACAATCTCAAGCCCGAGAAGTCATTACTACAGTACCAGTTAAGAGTACACATCTCATCAAAGAAAAACAATTTCATGCATTATTTTGCTGTGATTAGGTGCCATTAAATCTGCTCCGACTCAGAACTGAATCAAATACTGCATTACCCTCACAATTGTTCTGTGTTGGAGCCCATTGTTGCCTCTACTCCATTCATCTGGCTTGTGGAGGGCCTTCCCCTTTTTCACTGCCCTGCTACCGCGTGGAGCCCATTGTGGTAACAGAGTGGTTATACATTGGGCTGCTAACCACAAGGTCAGTGAAAGACAATGCTCTCTACTCCTGTAAAGATTTAGTCTCTGAAACCCACAGAGGGCAGTTTGATGCTGTCCTATAGGGTTGCTATGAGCTGGAATTAGCTCAATGTCAGTGCATCTCCTTTATCAGTCATGGGGCACCCATGATGCGTTGGGCTGATAACCAAAAGGTCAGCAGTTGGAGGCCACCAGCCACTCTGGGGGGACAGGATGTGGCAGTCTCCTTCCCTACAGATTACAGCTTTGGGGACCATGTGGCGCTGCCCTTTTAAAGAACTCATAGAGGAAGCCTTTAGTCCGACAGTATGTTGTTATGAGATGCCATTGAGTTAATTTTTTTCATTCAAAGTGATTTGAGATCTTAAAACCAAATCCACTGTCACTGAGGCGATTCTGACTCATCGTAACCCTGTACAGGGTTTCCACCGTTGTCCATCTTTACAGGGGCAGCGAGCCTCGCCTTTCTCCCAAGGAGCAGCTCCCGATTAACCCACCAGCCTTGTGATTAGCCCAATGCCTAATTCACAGAGTCACCAGGGCTCCTTCCGATACAAACCACCCTCCCTGATGTTGAGTTGATGCAGGCTCATAGCGACCCTATAGGACAGGGAAGAAAGACCCAAGTTTCTCCTGCTAGGGCTCCTTAGGACTTTATTATTTATATTTCAATTACTTTGTTGACTGAATTTGATACAAAGTGTCTACAGACACTTTAAGCAAGAAACAAGTATATAAACCCAGAAATATTTCCGGGGGGGGGGGGCAATTCTAACTTTTCCCTAGTCGGCTGATTGGGTCCTGGTTTAGGGCGTCTATCCACACATTTGGGCCGGATTCTGATTTTTTCTAGCTTAAGTACACCCCTATCAGTGTAGGTACAGGCATCCAGCTGTAGAAGTTGAATATGTTTTCAAATATCTTTTAAGACCCACAGACGTGGCTACACGTTTTTCTGCCATGTCCAGACTTAAACTAGGAAGGGCTCCAGATGATTCCCAACAAAAATGGAATGTATCTTAGGAACTTTTGGAAACCTCCCGATCTAGGCACTGAAAAGTACATTCTGAGGCTAGCTGAGGAGGCTGAGGGGAGAGAGATGCCCTGGGGAAGGGATTCTTGCCTATTAAAAAACAAACAAACAAACAAACAAAACCGGTTTACTTTTCAAAATCTAAAATTGACCATTGTCATTGTGTGACATTAACATTAGCGCTTCTGGCAGGTTTGAAAGCACTGGGCTCCGTTATAAAAGTTAAAAATGGCCTGGCCCCTGGAGTTGTTTACTGGGAGCGGGAGCCTCTAGAGTTACAGCGCTCTGGTTGGGAGAGGGTCTGAAGCCGGCCTCCGAAGGGCTGACGTCATGCAGCTCAGCGGCGGCTGTGCCAGGAGCTGAGCTGCCTGCGATCTGTGCAAGTGGCCACGCTTTCCAAGGGACTTGTCGGTGCAGCTCTGCTGAATGGTTGTACTTATTTAGTATTCCCCTGTCTTGTACCGAAGCAGCCTCGCCGAGCTGAGCGTTTCCTCTTTAGGACGACTAGCTGCCCACCCTGCTTCCTTCCGTTGCTAGATTGGCCAGTGGTGGAACGTCCGTACGATTCCCCCTGCAAACAGGTACGTGTTCTCTCCGGCAGTTAGAAAGCAGGCGCCGAAATTGTGGCCAAGTGGAACGCGGCTGCCGCGTGTTTTAAAGAATATGGGTCCTGTGAGCCGAGGGCTATTTCAACATCTGTCTGTGTCGATGTCAGTGGGGCGGGGTACCTAACGGATTGTACTGGCCGCCAAGGAAGAGGGGGTTCAGCTGCTGATGGTGGATTTCCTAACTCTGGACACGGCCACCCGCTCTCTGAGCTTGTGGTTTTCCAACGCTGCTTCTCAGCACACTGGGATTTCCCTCAGTGTCTTTGTTAAAATGCTCTTTTTCTTAGGGTGAAGATTTTTCAAGCATCTGCAGAGTGGAGATTGCAATGACAAGGAACTAAGCATCGTTTTAAAAGTTTGCTCACTGTCTGGCCAGGGTTATTGTGATTCAAGTGCCATTCTTACTGCGCCTCCTCCTGAAGGGAGAAGAAAACATCTGCTGTTGTGTAAGCTGGTTGGTTTTGGCCATTAAACCAATTTAGAACTTTGTTTCAAAACATTGATTTTATAAGCTAAATTAACCTAGTAGCTTGGCAGTTTTCTACTTGGAGAGAGAAAAAGAGGGAAAAGCCAAATGAGGCAGAACCCTTTGTCACTTTGATCTCGTCTGGAACACAAGGAACATGCTGAGTAGCAATCAATAATAATTTACTGGAGGTCACATTTGCAAACAATAGGATAATTATTACTAGTTAAAATCATGGAAGATCTCTGCAGTCACCTGGAGAAATGGCAAGAGTATTTTGGAGGCCAAAAGAGCGTTACTCTGATGGAGATAGGCATCGGAGTTCTTAGTTCAAAGCTAACCAGAAGCAAAGCCTTCCCAGAGCAGGTGATCCCTCTAGGAAGCCTCAGTTTGGCAGTCCCCACTGCGTGTGGCATTTTCTTATTTGAAAGTAATCACCTACAGATTAAAAGTATTCAGTTGTGTAAAAACCAATATGCTTAGAAAAAGGAAATAAGAGCAAGACACAAAGATCCGGGACAACAATCTCAAAATTGAGAAATAGCTACTGGGAAAAAACCCTGACTCTCTTGTTTCATTGACCCTAAAAAAAAAATTCTGGTTTTCAATGGGAAAATGGAGATCCAAAAGGTAGTAGTGATGAAGGCGTAGCAATAATGGTGCACCCCACAAACAGTGTGTTACCGTGACCAAACGGAAGCTGATTTGAGGAATGAAAAGAATCTTGTCCTGTGCTCACTGGTGGGGCATGCGGACTGTTTCTGCCATCCTTGCCCTTGCTTCCTCCACTCATTCACAGCCCTTTACACTCCCGTCGGCCGGGGTAGGGGGTGGGCTGAAAAAAGGACTTACTGCGTGTTAGGTTAAAGACTTGGAGGACTGTGTAATCCTCACAGTGCTCTAAGAAAATTTTTATCTGAATGAAATTTGAGAAGAAATGAACTGGAAAACAAAGGATAAGAGAGTGAAGCAGATAACAGAAAGCCGTTTCTCCCACTTAGATGCCGATATCTGTGGGAGAAAACAAGTGGCAAGCAGCAACAAAGAGCACGTTTGTGTGTGCTTCTGCGGAGAGTGCTGCAGTTGAACTTTCTCCAGGTTGCTGTCCCACTTCACCCTGTAACTTTTCCGTAGAGAACATTCTGTTCCTATAAACTTGGCCCTTTGATTTAAGTTTTAAAACATATTTAAGTTAGTATGTTAGCAAAGGATTTGTAAAGGCTTTTCTACTCACATTTTTAATCTTTAAAATTCATTTATTTAATTTACTGCCAGAGTTGAAGGAGCCATTAGCCATAATTTTAGAGTCGCCTGTGTTCAAGTTCTAGAAAAATCTAAGATTATTAAGAGTGCTTCAAGAAACTCTTTTTAACAGTCAAACTTATAGGACGAGGCTTTCCATAAGAAAGCAGTGGGAGATGACTGAAGAACAACTTGGAAGTGAAAGCGTAGGGTTCACTGTCACTGTGGTCATGCATTCTCCAAATGTCTTCCTGTGCACTGTCCACCGTCCCTTCCGTCTGCGGGATTCTTAGTTCTTCTGCCTGGGTTAATCCCCAGTAGTAGTTTCCCTGTGTGTTAGTCACTAGTTACCAGCGGTGCTTCACTAGTTAACGAGGCTCTGTGTGTGTGTGTGTGTGTGTGTGTGTGTGTGTCTATTTAAATATTGGCTAGCAATAATTTTTTTCTCTAAATTCTTAGATTGCCATGTGTCTTTAAAGTACTTGAAAAATACTAAGGCCAAAGGACAGTCACTGATCATAAAAAAGATGTCAAACTGTTGGAGGCTTGCTTGTATGAAATTGCTAATTAAAACTCAGAAAAGTAAGCATGGGGATGTAGCAGAAGGAAATGCAGGGGAGGAGACAAAGGAAAAGATGAAGCGAGGGTTATGATAAGAAACCAAGAAACAGACACTCACTTAGGACCTACTCTGAGCCAGAATCGTGTTAGGCACTTTCTCATTAAGTTTGTCTCTTGATTTCTTAGAGCTCACAACCCTATGGCCCCGTTTTATTTGGAGAGGATGTGGCAGTATACTCAGCCACATGACACGTGAAACAGTGTGACAAGGCAGGGATGCTGAGATGGCTACATACATTCTGCCATCAAAATCAGATTTTTTTCTACAGAATTTTTTTCCAAAGCCATGGTTTGTTTTCTTTCTTTATTTGGAGCCATCACATTGCTGGGCACTAGAAATTACTCTACCCCCAGAAACAGGAAGCGTTGCCAGACTGGCTATCCTCCGTACTAAGTGATGACGTTCACTCTGTAAATTGATGCACGACTCACCTGCTTCACGAGCAGTGCCTGATTAATGTGTCCTAGTGTTTATTTTCCGCATTCTTTTGGACTGAGGTTTCTCTGTGTTTTATTTTGTAAAGGTTGTTGGGTGGCAGGATGGTGGGAGTGGTATGATTTTCTTTATATGAAATCAAGGATAGGAAAATCTATGTACACAGAGCTTGAAAAATATTTTCTGAGGGTTATGGTGAGATAGGAGAAAATGGGTAGCTAATATCAGTGAGTACAAAAATGAAGTGACTGTTCCAGAATTTATTGTGGTGATGATTGCACAACTCTTTTTGATATATATAAGCCATTGAATTGTATGGTATGTGAATTATGTGTCAATAAAACCTGTTTTACAAAAGAAAGAGAAAAGGACATGGGTTCAAGTATGGTCATATTATGAACAAGCTTTAGAATTTTTCAGGAGGTAAAAAAAGAATGGCCTGACATTTCTTTCTGGTTCAGAAGTCATCCAGAAGAGTTGGGGATATGGAAGGCAAGAATGGTGCGATTTGCAGCATAATTGTAGGAAAAATTTCATGATGATTTCTGAACATTATTAATGTTCAAAGATGCTTTGGATAGAGCATAGATGGTCAAACCACCTCTTTTCCAGATAGCGTGAAATTGGCTTGCACCCTTTTATAACATCCGTGATAAGTTGTCAACTATTGATTTTATTCCTTATTTTATGTATTCCATCCCTTTATCGGTATTGAACTATTCTACTTGTCCTAAAATGTTCCAGTGAATTGGTCAGCAAGATGTATCTGCTCACAGTTAATTAGCTAGATTTAAATGAATCTGCTAGTCTGCAAAAAATCACTGTCTCCTCAATTTCCCATGGGTAGTTCTTAGATGAACCTGAAAGATTATTGCATAATCAAGATCATAAAAGTTTAGCCACAACAAACAGAAAGCAATTCTGCATCTCGTTTACCCTCCCCATCTTGTTGGAGGCTCACTGGCATCGTGTACTTTCGAGCAGCTGGGCATTTGCTCTGGCAGATGCTGTGGTCACTAGCTCACCATGGTGGAAGGCAGCAAAAGGGAGGAGGAGTAACAGTGGCTTTAGAGACAATGAGGCTCGAAATTCAATGTAGCAAAGTCGACAAAACGAGGTGGGATAGCATTTTAAGTGGCTGAGTGTGGTATTTATGTTTCATGACTGAATTAATCATAGTACGTAAATGCCAAATAAATAGATGATTTTCATCAAAGTGCCTTTAGCATATAGTTTGAATTAAGAGTAGCATTACAAATTCCAAGATTCATAAGGCTTTTGAGAGGTGAAGTTGGGCAGCTAACATTTTCTTAATTACTGAAAAACCAAACCCCCTGCCATCAAATCAATTATCACTCTTCGTGACCTTATATGGGATTTTCAAAGGGTTTCCAAACTGTAAACAGCTAGAGAAGCAGACAGCCTCACCTTGCTCCCTTGGAGTGGCTAGTGGTTTTGAGCCACTAGAAGTCTGTTACATGACAGCACCACCAGGGTGCCTTTAATCCAGGGGTTCTCAACCTGTTGGTCACAACCCCCTTGGGGGTCAAACGACCCTTTCACAGGGGTACCCTATTCATAATAGTAGCAAAATTACAGTTATGTGAAGTAGCAATGAAAATAATTTTATGGTTGGGGGGTCACCACAACGTGAGGAACTATATTAAAAGGTCGCAGCATTAGGAAGGTTGAGAACCACTGTTTTAATCCTTCCTGGTGGAATAGTGGTTACATGTTGGGGTGCTAGCCCTAAGGTCAGTAATTAGAAACCACTGGCTGCTCCTTGGGAGAAAAATGAGGCTTTCTACTCCCATAAGAGTTACAGTTGTGGAAAACCACAGAAGTAGTTTTACTCTGTCCTATAGGGTTGTCATGAGTTTGAATGGCTTGATGGCAATGAAGTTTGGGGTTTTTTAAAGTACATTGTAACTTATCAATAATTTACAGCTCAAAAAAATGTGTGTTCAAAACATTTAACCACTCATGAAGAAAGCTGATGGTGCCCGGCTATCAAAGGATATA